GTTCTGGGTCCCCCGCAAATCCGGCGAATCCGGCTACCCCGCCCGCCCTATGGTTTGAGCTATCGCGACCGTGCTCGGCCATGCCCCCTCCCCTCTCATCCATCACATGCCATGCCCATCCCCCTCCCATCTATACTTATTACATACCCCCCACCCCCTCCCCCAAAAAAATAATACCGTTTGAATAGTATTGAATGAGTAAATTAAATAATAAACGAGCATTTAATATTTCATATTATAGAATATGAAAGTATACAATTTTTAATTACTGTTTACTGATCTTCATATAGTAAATAAAACTATTAACTAATGAGTTAGTGTAAATGTATAATTTTATAAGTTTCTCTTCTTTTTGTTTTTTTTTTAACTTTTACTAAACAAAATCATTCATAATCATACTAGCTTATGTATTTCAATATAAATAATATTTAAACATATTATTTAGAGTGGTGTTTATATAACATTAACAATGCTAATAATATAATTAGCTAGTATATTTTTTCTATTAGCCTAGAAATTACACATTCAAACAAAACGCATTAGAAAAATTACATTAATATTAACATGATAGATCAAGTTTTCTAATATCTTAACTATGGATATTAATATGTTATGATAAACCTATTATGAAAAATAGATATACCATATACGTTAACACTATGTAATGAGGTTAGATAAATCATATATATAAGGGGACTGATTTCACTCAAAGGAGTCATACTGTTTTTCAAGCTTCTTGTATACAGTGTACGTATTACTATTGTTATTAGTCTAGTGTTTATTACATATCAGTAAAAATGTTCAAGTGCGGTGTTTGTGATAAAGTTTTCACCACGAAGTCTAATATGCTTAGACATAACAAATCGCATAACAATAACAGATTTACATGTGTCGAATGCCAACAAATGTTCAGTCGTCGAGATGACCTTGTAAATCATATACAGAAAAAACATGGTATGTATTATATTTAATTTTATATAATTGAATAATAATTAAAATAGTATAATATTATATAGATATAAAAGTATATAGGTATACTAAATAATTAAATATTATTATAATATAGTATATAATAATAATAATAATAATTAGAATAATAATATCTTTGTTTAATTTAATTATTTAAACGAATATTATATAATATTATTAACACAATTAAAATCGTGTAGTGAATAATATTAAATATAAAGGAATAGTAAGTAACTGAATATTAGCATTTAATATAGATATAATCATATAGTATAAGTCATAAGAATAACCTATGATTCTATAATTATTATTTCTCTATATTAGGTTTCATTAAACATAATGCTGAATACAATAGGGCTATGGGTATTACAGTCGGACGACAGTCATTAAGTGAGTGGCATTTATATTATATTATTTAAATGTATTAAGCTCAATAATAATAATAATTATTATTATTTTATTTTATAAGGTTCGGGTGTTATAGATTGTGTAGCTTCCTCATCAAATACGAATGTTATCATTCCACCACAAGCTCCCACCCCTCCTACTACGTCAGTTAAACGTACTAAAACCGACTCAGCGYGTAACATTGTGAAGTTTAAAAAGGTCCGCATAGGAATGGTTAATACACCTGGTTTTATCGAGCTCGACTCTTCGCTGGATARGACCGTAGTATGGTATTATAGAGGGAATACTGACAACAGTCTGAGCTATCCAGCGTTTTTAGAGTCGATAAAACTAGAATTGGTGAATAAAATCAATAATTGTGTGCGTATTAACCCGATCAAGTATAATTTAAAGTTGGAGGCAGTGTATGTACATAGAGAATTACCAGCCGAGGATAGAGCTTTTAAAACTTTGTCGAGGGAGGTGTATATACATAGCGATGTGAGCGCTATGGTCGATGAGGACTTTGCAGCACTCATGTCAGAGGAAGATAGGTATATTAAAAAGGGGTCTGGCTTCACCCTATCTAGTATCGATGGCTTACTGCTAGGTATCTATGAACATACCCCTCTARGAGGGTCTTCGTATATTCCACTTCCGGAAAACATTATGCGGAAAAAGGCTGTCATAAATCCAATGAATATCGATGACGATTGTTTCAAGTGGGTTATTCTAGCCAGACATGTTCCAGTAGTCAACCAAAGTCGTGTAGGACAAAATTATTATAATGAGAAGCATCGGTACGATTTTTCTGAATTATCCTCCCCGACACCAATATCGGAAATCTGTATATTTGAACGACGGAATAAGAGGGTGTCGGTAAACGTATATGGATTGAAACCTGGAAAGGTGGGTAAGGGGGTTAAAGATAGTAAGGAGAGGAAAGTGGGTAAGGAGAGTGTAGTGTATCCAATCAAGGTTGTCGAAAACGAGAAGGCGGTTCATTTCGACCTTCTCGTGATTGAAGGTTTGGAACGGATGCACTATACGTACATCTCAAATTTTTCACGGTTGGTACGGAATCAGAAAACATCCCATGAAAGTCGACTTTTTATCTGTAAGCGGTGTTTCACATCATTCGATGAGCAGGTGAAAAAAAATAAATTGCGTGGTAATGAGGCTCTCCGACAACATATGAGACTGTGCGGACCAAATAAACCGATTTTACCTGTTATGCCGGAGGAGGGGGAAGTGCTCAAGTTTAACGGGTGGGGTAGCATGCAGCGTCACCCGTTTGTGATATACGCGGATTTTGAAGCCCTCCTGGAAAAACAGACGAAGCGGGTGGGGGCGAGCACTGATGGAATACACACACATCACCCGATGAGTTACGGGTACTTTGTCAAGGCGGCGGTAGACATACCCGTAGCGTTGATGGAGAAATACGATATACCGCAGACACCTGTCATATATCGCGGTTCGGAATCCCGCGACGAGGTGGCCAAACACTTTATCGCCAGTGTGACCGCGCTCACCACCAGGTTGGGGAACCTGCTGAAGGCTACTAATGTACCGATTTCGATGAGTGTGGAGGATGTGCGTGCGCATAACGCGAAGAGTGTGTGTGATATGTGTAAGTTGGCGTTCACCGAGACCAGGTGTAAAGTCGCCGACCACTGTCATCTATCGGGACGGTTGAGGCATACCCTCTGCGCACCGTGCAACCTCAAGCTCGTCACACCTAAGTTTGTACCGTGCTTCCTACACAACCTCTCGAAATGTGACGCACAMTTTATCGTAACCGAACTCGGTTACGATAAAGAGTCGATAACGGTGATCCCCAACAGTGAGGAGAACTATATCTCGTTCTCGAAGCGTGTAATGCCTGACTTTAGTGTAAGGTTCTTAGACTCGTATCGGTTCATGATCTCAAGCCTGGCCGAGTTGGCTGGGAACCTTCTCACGAAGTCTGGTGAGTTTGAGAAGTTCAGGGAGACCGCCAAGGTATTCCAGCCCGCCGACATGCYGCTAGTCACACGAAAGGGTGTGTTTCCTTACGAGTATACCGATAAATGGTCGAGGCTCGAGGAGACCGCCCTACCGCCGAAACATGACTTCTATAGTGTGCTACTCGAGAAGCATGTGACCGACGAGGACTACGTACASGCGACGGAGGTGTGGCGTCACTTCAATTGCAAGACCCTCGGAGACTACAGCGACCTATACCTGAAGGTCGACGTTCTCCTTCTGTCCGACGTCATGGAGAACTTCCGCGACCTCTGCATGTCAACGTACAACCTCGACCCCGTGTATTATTATACAGCGCCGGGGTTTACGTTCGACGCGATGCTAAGGTATACGGGCGTTTCGCTGGAGTTTCTAACCGATTACGATATGGTCCTATTCTTGGAACAGGGGATCAGGGGAGGGTTGGTCCAAGCCAGTGAACGGTACTGTCGGGCAAACAATCCCAAGACGCCGGGGTACGATGCCGAGAAGCCAACGTCTTGGCTCGTCTACCAGGATTGTAAATATACGTACATCGCTTATACAATTAATTGCATTACTAACTTTGAATCTATTCTTACAGGCAACAACTTGTATGGATACGCTATGGGGGAATATATGCCTTATGGAGGGTTCAAGTGGTATGAGGGGGATCTGGATCGCTCTCTAGAGCTGTTGGACGGTATGACCGACAAATCCGACGTTGGATGTATCTATGAGGTAGATATCACCTACCCCGACGGCYTACACGATACGCACAACGATCTCCCCTTCCTGCCACGGAATGCTATACCCCCAGGCTCTAAAGTRAACAAGTTAATGGCTACGTTAGAGCGGAAAGAGCGATATATTGTTCACTATAGGAATTTAAAGCAGGCCATCGCTAATGGACTGATAGTGGAGAAAGTAAATATATATAATACATATTTTCACCTGAAATGTGATTACGTGAAATTAACCTAGGATAATAGGTTCACAGGGTGTTGGAATTCAAACAGTCGGCGTGGCTTGCTGAATATATAAATTTAAATACGGAAATGAGGAAGAAGGCCAGTAATGAATTTGAACGTGATTTCTTCAAACTGCTGAACAACGCCGTGTTTGGTAAATATTTCAAACGACCCGTCATTATCATTTTTAAATCATACTCATATTGATATTATACGAATTTCCAGGAAAAACGATGGAATGCGTTAGGAATCGTATTTCCATAGAATTGGTGTCCTGTCCACGACGAATGCGGAAACTTATAAATAAACCCACGTTTAAACACGTCACCACGTACACCGAGAATCTGGCCGCCGTATCCTTGCAAATGAGTGACATACGTTTCTCCAAAACCTATTTACGTAGGGTTCTCCGTGCTGGAAATAAGCAAGGAGTTAATGTATGACTACCATTACAACGTGATGCGGCGGCACTATAACGACTCGATTAGACTAATGTATATGGATACAGGTATTTACGAGATAATAAATAATATTTTTACACTCATATAATATTATCTAACGTACGTCTTTATAGATTCCCTGATCTATCGAATACATACGGAGGATTTCTATAAGGACCTGCTCGACAACCCCGCGCTCCTCGAGCGGATGGACACCTCGAATCTCCCCGCCACACACCCCTGCTACGTTGGTACGCGTAAGAAGATCCCCGGGCTSTTCAAGGACGAGACGGTGGGCCGAACTATGCACGAGTTCATCGCACTCCGGGCTAAATCTTACGCGTATAAAATCGAAGGGGACGAAAAACTCGTGGCCAAGGGGATTCGAGGGCATGTGGTGCGAAATCATATGACGTTCGAGGATCATAAGCGCTGTCTGTTCGAGGTCGACGACGCTGGTGATGGAGACGAGAGTGAAGAGGTGGGCGATGACGAGGATGATTACGAGGAGGACGACTTTGACGATGATGTAACGTTAAAGGATGAGGAGCTGAAACGGCGTGCACGTCTGATGGCCCGATCGGTTATCAGCACGATCCACGAGAATGCCGCCGCCGCTACCACCGCCGCTATTGCTGGTGTGGGATTCACTCCAACACCACTTCCCCCATACACACCGTACACACCGTATAGGCAAAACGTGTCGATCCGATCGTTTGAGCACCGCGTCAAAACGATTAAGACCGTGAAAATGAGTCTTAATCGTTTCGATGACAAACGCGTTGTCGACGACGATCGGATACGTACGCGTGCTTACGGGTATTACGCACTAAGCGTGTGATAATATATTTATTTTGTTTATATTATACACATTTGTATGTATTGTAATTATATTATATTTTATAGGCTTGAATAAATAATTGTAGTATAATAGTATAGTATGTATGTAATTAAACAAAATATATATATATAAAATTGTATAGGTTAATGAAATCCATATAATAGTATGATGTGTAATTAAAAATAAAATATACAATTATGCACGTTAGTTAAATACATATATATTAATATTAAACTGAATCCACGTTGAGCTTGGTACACTTGCTGAGAGTGACCGTGCTGTGAGCGRCCGTGCTGCATCTTGTATTAGGGGTTTCAGGAATTATTTACAAACCATTTACGTATGGCGAAAACTTTGTAAAATGTACATTGTTTCGGGTTAAACTCCATGTGAAAAATACAGCAGGGTAGTGTTTCTTCACCACATATTTGATCCAATCGAGGACATCCCAAGTCCTCGATGTTGACAAGCGTAACGTGTGGGATATAGTCCATAAGAAGTTGTTTTTTCTGCTCGCCTTTCACGTAAATGCAGTCGAACTTCAGTGAATTCAATATCCGACTGAGTTCCTCGTACTCGACATCACCGTATTCCACAGATAGTTGATGATAATTACGTTCAAGCCATTTATTCGTTCTACGACTCTTGTTGTCCTGTTTAGAGTTTGAATTCTTGAAAATCCAGTGTTGAGTTGCCCACGATTCCGTGTCTACTACAGACMTTTCTTTTATCATATATTTATTGTCAACCGCGAGAACGCACTGAATKTCCACGATAGCTAACGAGGACGATGAGGACGATGATGATGATAACATTRCATATAGTAGTATAAMGTAAGTAGCTATAGAATAGTTCCGCAAAGGACTTCTGAACACGAGTGTGTATACACGTTAACTGAAATTATTTACCAATACCTATCTGTATAATGATATCATATATATGTATTGTAGAAGGGGTAATATATTTCACAATAAATTAACTATCTATGAAAAATCAAGATCGTTGAGTGTAATCAATTTTTCTTGATATAATTGTCTTCAATGTTTTTCACACGTGCATGCAGCTCTGAAATATACGCCCCGTGATTCGATAGAGAATTTTCATCGAATTCTCCAGTTATAAGGTTTATTACGTTGTCCAAACGAGTGACATCTCCTCGAGTTATACTAATTATTGTTTATTACTTATTATTAGTTTCAGCATACTTATTGAATAGAATCGAAACACGGCTCTCGAGATTGTATAAAGACTTATTATTTTGCTGTATATCATCTCCCATCGATTTTAATTTCACTTCAAGATTAATTATACAACTTTTCAGATTATCGATCTCCGACTTCAGTACTTTTACATCGTATAGAATCGTTTTATTACTCGTATTAATATGTGAAATAATATTCTTTCTACGTCCATCGATAGAGTTATTGAAAATATCCATGGTTAATACATATTATTATTATTTTTCTAGATATTATAAATATCTTCGATTGTCTTCAAACGTTTTTCCAAGGCTGAAATAAACAGCGCGAGATCAGATAAAGGTTTTCTAGTACGAYTTTCGGACTCTAATAAAGATTTTATAGTTTGACGTATATCATCTTCCAGCGATTTTATCTTTACTTGCAGATTTACAAAATCGYCTTTCAGAGTACCTATCTCCAACTGTAGTATCTTTAAATCGTATACAATTGTTTTGTTACTCGATTGAATATGCGAAATAGTATTTTTTCTACGTCCGTYGATCGAGTTATTGAAAATATCCATTATCAATACRCATCTTGCACATATGAAATGTATTAAACTACTGAAATTAATTTTCATAGTTTAAGCTCATCAGATTTTAACCAGCTATTATGTGTCGCGTCAAAGCCCAACCACTTTACAAACACTTGATCACCCTTTCTACGTATAATTTTCTCGATTAAATATTCATTTCGGYGATTAGTTTTATGTATTTCTTCGGAATAAAAACATCCGGCAATCGGTTTCCCCGTATAATCTTKCAACTGATAAGTAACGGGTAACGTTTTATTTATTTTAATAATCTCAAATATTTCCGTAGACCAGTTTGGTAGATAACCTTTTGTAAAAACCCCTTTTTGAGTGCTAATCCGCACGTTATCACCCACTTTAAATTTAGTTTTTACATTATTAATTTCACGCTGTTTTATCTCTACTATAAGTGGATTGGCATCTGCTTGCACTGGTGTCATTCCAATAGTTCTGTGTCTGGAATTATTATATTCTAACAACAATCTCGGTAAAATAGTAATCCATTCGTGAGAACCTCGMGCGGWAAACTCTCTAAACATTTTTTCTTTCAGCGTACGATTGARKCGTTCGACAATACATGCTTTCATTATACTGTACGTAGAATATTTGTGTATGTTATATTCACCCATCAACTCATCGAATGTCTTGTTATAAAATTCTTTTCCGTTGTCCAATTGCAAGAGTTTTGGCGWTCGATTGCGTAATATTTTAGACATAGCACTAGTAACTTCCTTACCGGATTTTGTCCTCAATGGTAGAGCCCATGCGAATTTAGTAAAACAATCGATTACACATAAAATATATTTTTAACCTTTGTTTTTCCTCGAATATGGTATCATTTCAACCAAGTCAGCTTGCCATAAAT